TGTGACTAAGTCGTAGAATTGGAAGTCAGGTAAACACTCAGTCTTGTGTAAGCAATTAATCACCTATTTAATTTTAAAGTGTTTAAATCGTATTGATGTCAGTGGGACTAAGCCAAAGGTTAAATGCAAGTTCTTGTTTATATTATGTCCTAAATTTCCATAAGTGTGTGCTGATGTGATTTTCTAAATCGAGACGACAGCAATTCAGATCACAGAGAGGCTATGCCCTATTGCTTCTCTCTCTCTTTTTTTTTTTTTTTTTTTTCCTCCTTTATTTATTTATTTATTTTCAGGAAGAAAAAGCAATGTAATTCTTGGCTGATAGGATCTTGTCCCTCAGGGTCACCCAGGCCATTTTGGAGATAACATTCTGGTGAACCACCATTTGAAAACAAAGCAAAACAAAAACCTTCTCACATTATCCTGAGCAAAGGCCTAATAGCTGGCTTCAAGCCAGATGCTTCATGTTGATTTTACTTGCAGTGTGACAAAAGTCACCAAGAGCCACATTTTTTAAGGTTTGTCTCTAAGAGGCCCTTCCACTATCTCCATGGCCGCTTTTTTAAATATTTGGACCACACAGAGATATGCATGCAACATCAAAATGGAAGTACCCAATAGCACAGGTCTGCTCCGACGATTTGGACCTAATTTTCTTGAAGTTTGCCACCTCTTACAAGTGGGATTGCACAACAGCTTGTTGTTGGGCACAAAGCTGCTTGTATCCACATGAGAAAGCAAGTTGCTGAGACTCATTGCAGGTGAAAGTATTTGACCCTCGGATACTTCAGTTAGATGTTGAATCAGCATTAAATGTCCATGGAAAGCTATGGGATAAACAGCACATAAATATTATTCTTATATCTTTGAAGTAAATAAAGCTGCCTTTATTGTCAGACTTTTTTTTTTTTTTTTTTTTTTTTTTGTCATTTGCTAATCCTTGACCAGGATTTTGGGAAACTTTTAAGTATCAATATCCAAGCAAAGGCAGTTTTACTTCTTGCAATAACAATCTTTTTATCTGCACTTTAAAGACAGGGAATCAAGGACTAATGGTCACTAAGTGTGCCCTGATGGTAGCTGTTTAATGAGGATAAATAATGAGTGCTGTGTCAGCTTAAAAAGCAGCAATAATGTCCTAGTAAGCAAGCAGGCTGCCTCTTCTATCTTCTCTTGCAAGCTCTGTTTTTGTACTCTCTCCATGACCTAAATCTTCATATCCTCCAGCCTCTCCCTCTCCCTCCCTCACTCCTTCCAATGAATGTCCTTTTGTGTTTCTGTGCTCATTGCTTCCCCTTCAAGTATGCTGCTTTTTTTTTACTCTCTTCCAGAAAACTAAGCAGTGCCTTCCTTTGTCATTATCTTCATTACAGCTCTGCCACATCATCATTTGCTTCCTTCAGAGATCACTTTTCATCCCTTTTCTAATTGTGCTCTTGCACAATGCTCACCCGCAGATGTTCTTCATGTGCTCTTTTTCTTGCCTTTACCTTGCAGAGGCTTTCAGTTTGTCCTTTTTTATTAATTTTCTGCTTGAAATACTTGTTCTTTAAGTATATAAACAGAAAATTGGGTGAGGCAACTAGAAGACATTAAGAGGTATTTGAGGTCACAAATAGTATTGTGGCAAGCTAAATCAGGGAGGTGCTGCAGGGAATTTTGTTCCCTTTGAGTTGATGACAAAACCTCTACTGATTTAATTTGAGTATTATTTACCAATAACATCTGTGGGGGGGTTCAAAACTTCCAGATATGAGTATGTGTTGGAGTAGAATGGAGAGAGACATTTTCTTGTATTTTCAAGGATACTCAAGGCCAATCAAATAATTATATCTCTGACTTTGCCCCTCTTCTGGAGCAGGTTACCTGGAAAATGATGGACAGAAAAAAGGGTCCCTGTTCTGAGCTTTGCATTGCAGGCTGGGGAGGGATTTTAGAAGGGGTTAAATCCCTCCAAGCAAAAATTGCCATACAAACCACATCTGTTTCCAGCACTGCAAAAGAAACACTGTGCTTCCTCCAAGCTTGATTTATGCAGGGCTGATGTACTCCATGATACCTAGGGCTAGGAGAATTTTTTTATTTTTATTTTTTCTGAAGTACAGAAGGGTCCCAAGAAGAACCATACCTCAATACTTAAATATCTTCCTGATACATACAAAACTAATGCTTCATCCTTTTCCCAAGGACTTTCCACTTCTTTTCCCCACTTCTTTCAACCACAGCTCTTATAAAACCATAGTGGTCTGACTACTACTGCTGCCGAACAAGTTTTCCAAACATTTGATTTTTAGTACATTTTCAATATGACATTTCTTACAGGCAACAAACAAGAGTAGTTTATATTACATCATGTTATGAGAGGCACTCCAAAGCCACTTTGGGATGAATAGTTTCCATGAGGAAAATGAAAACAGATCTTTTTCTCCTGCAAACTGCTTTAACACATTTGAAATGGATAGTGCTGATCTGCATAAGCTGAGAATGTGAGCCACTGGGTCCTGCTCTGTGTTACAGAGAAAGTTAATTGTTGTAATGAAATGACTTATGATGGCACTGACATTCTGTTCAACTCTTCTTACAGCTCCTGTGGTGTTTTCATGTCAGTTGTTCCTGTAGCTTACAGTAAAAATGCATAGATATTTGATAAACCACACTTTGTTGTGATTTCTGTACTTCCTATTAGCTTGGAACCCTCTATGTTACTGCAGTAATGATGCAGTTCATTAATTACTCATAAAAAGACATATATATATATATATTAGGTTAACTATGCTTTCCTTTGCTTTCTAGCACTTGCAGAATGATATGTACTGAAGAACCTTGAACAGGATCCTGTCATCCATTCCATGAAAGTCATGGAAAATTCTTCTACTTGGTAAAAGAAGAGTTGTTCTAAAGTTATGTGTATGCTCCATGTTACAGAATAGCAAATAATGCTGTCATGAGCTCACACAATCTGCATACAAGCTGCAGACATCTCCACCAATTAAACTTCCTCCCTTCACACAACATAAATTCAACAGATGAGGTAGCCATGAAGTGTGGTGGGAAATGGCACCATGGGGGAGATCAAGGCTTGTCTCTGCCAGCCGAGTCTTTGGGAAGGTCACCTTGGTCAGCCTCCTTGTCCCGGAGAATGTGAACAACCTCCACTATTAAGAGTAAATTAAGATCATACTTAGACCCTAATGATACTATGCATCTCCTTATCCATACCTCACGGGTGGAGTGAGAAATTCCCTTCTAAGTTCAAACTCCAGAAATATGGAGGAAGACCAAAGAAAGTTTGAACAGAGCTTCACTAATTCTGTAAGCAAAGGATGCTCAGAAAAATAAAGGGAAGATAATCAGAAAGAACATTGTTTCTAATGACAGTTATTTCTGACACACTTGGTGTTTTCATTATTTGGTATTATTTCAGGCAGAGATTAATAAAGAAAGTATTTAAGTAAATTGGGAAAGCACTGGACTCAAGCAAAATATAGACATGAGAATAGTACTTCATTAAGCAAAGAGTACCTAAAAAAAGCAACAAGCTACCAAAGCCTGTGATTTTCCTTTTTTTTTTTTTTTTTTTTTCCTCAGAGGAAAGAGGAGAAAATAATGGAGTGATTACAAGGGATGAAACAGTCAGGATGAACAGAGAGAGAGAAATCCTAGCAAGAGCCTGAGTTTACCTTGAGAAAACCAACAAGGCTGTTGAACAAGGACTCCTTCTAGCCCAGAGGGAAACCAGAGAGGAGTATAGTGCTCTGACACTGTACGTGGTGTCAGCGGTCTGATGAACAAAAGGAGATCAGAGCCATGAATGTATGAAGAACAGACAGACGTTGGCCATCATTGCTTGCCACACAGCGACAGAAACCGAACATCCCCTATGCCCTCTCTTCCAGCAGATGTTCTCCCTGCCTTCTCCATCATCCCTGCAAGGTGATATCATGAAAGCACAGCAGTGCTCAGTGGCATTGGGAGGTAAATCTCAGAAAAGAGCTGGTGGGAGGGGAGATCAGTCCTCAGATACCACAGCAGCAAGCACAAAACTTGACAGTTCACAGATGCATCTGAGGAAGTCTTACCACAGGCCTCTTACAAAATGTGGTTACAGTCAGAGACCAGTGGCTTATACATCACAGAGCCCGATAAAAACAGTGAGCAAAAATGTCAGCGCTTTTGCAAACTGTTGTCAAATGCTGGGACTGTGCATATGTTAAAGATACAAAGAAGAGAAAGAAAAATGACCCATTAAAATGAGATCTTTGGAGCAGCTCTACACCAGAAACATGAAGTTGGACACAACCTTGGGGGGAAGCAATAGCTGTAAAAGCAGCAGAGTTGTCCTAGTGGTTAGATGAGTTTGTCCCACCAAACAAACCCATCCCCCAAAAATGAAGGGCAGAACACGAGAGAACACGGTCACCTATCCCACGTAAGCATCATTGACTTTCTCCAGGGAATGGGATTTGCTTTCCATGCACAGGTTGATGAGCCACTGGGGAAGGCGGTGGAGCCCCTGGCACTCCTCACCCTGCAGAGGCCTGGAGGGCCTCTGCTCCATCTGCTTCAGGAGTGAGGTGGGTACCTGTGTGGTGGTTACCACCATTTCTGGTGACACAATTTGGACCGTAGACATTTCTGCTCATTTGGTGATACACACAGCCTCATTGTGGGAAGCCCCCTTTTGTCCATGGGGCCCATGGCACAGTCCATTTTTAACTTTTAAAGATATTCTGGGAAAAAGTAAAGGAAAAAAAAAAAAAAAGAAGAAGAAGAAGAGAAAAAGAAACAGAACCAAAGCATGTTTTTCTCCATTACCATAAAGAGGGTTGGTGAATGCATGGTATTAGTATCCCAAAAGCTATTAAACTCCTTAGTGATGGGAAACAGATGGAAAATAAGACAAAAGAATTCACAACTCATGTTAGACTGAATTGAATTCCTTTAATTTCACACAATGAATAACATATGAATAGGATTAACTTTTTTTTTCCTTTTTTTCCTTTTTTTTTTTTTTTTTTTTTTTTTTTTAGTTAAGTGCTCTATACTGTGCTAACCTGATTTGGTAGCGAAAAGACTGAGCTTTGTTTTAGAAAAAAATGTTTAAAAACCAACATCTAAGATCATGAAGGAGCATGACATTAAAGCATGCCAGATGTATCTAAGCCTCAAAGAACATCAAGTCCATATCCATTTTTAAATGTACAAAAATGCTTCATGAATAAAAACTGTTACAAAAAGAACATTTCAAACAATGTACAAGTTTTTTTTTTTCTTGCCTCTATATTCAATAAAATACAAATACATTTTTTGCTCTAAAATATGTTTACATACAATCAAAGTAGAACATGCAAATTACACTTTAAAAAAGGCTTTTAAAAACCACTTATGAATACAAACTAAAAATTAGCCAGCACGACTTATAGAACAATCTTGTGCCCCATTCGTTTGATTTTTTTTTTAAATTTTTTTTGAAATACAGTATATACATATTTAACACTTCATGTGCATTTATTATTTAAGAAATAGCTTAAAAAAATAAAGAAAAAGAAAAGTAAAACAAACCAACATGGGATTGAACTGCTTCCCCATGTTGTCCAATTGGCAGCTCTTTTCACGTTTTTACATTATTTATTTATTTTTTTCTATGTAGTGTTTTATACAACCTAGGTAGGCATCTTAAGCAGATCTCCAATATGTGTCCTTTGTTGAAATGTGCTTCTAATTGTCTCAGAACTTCGATACCCCAGTTTTTGGATGATATGGAAGGAAAAGTCATTGATGTTTGTTTTCTCAGTTCAGAAAACCATTGTTTTTTTTCCTGACTTTTTTTTTTCCTTTTCTTTTTTTCCTTCAGGATACTATTTAAATGCACTTAAGTGCAGTCCTGAATCAGGGCCTGTGAAATTAAGAGTTGGGGAAATCCTTGTTTATGGAACTGTGATTACTGCTTATTCGTCATATTGCTGTAGTGCTTAGAAACTCCAGTGACGAACCAGCACCTCATCAGACCAGACTGCCCCAAAAATTTGCAAACTCAAACATAATATCCTACATGGATGATCTAAAGCACTGCTGTCAAGTGGAGAGGTATGGGCTATGCTGTAGGATACTCTAGTAGCCGACTACTACATTTTTTTTCTTTTGTTTTGCATTTTCTCTTTTTTAAAACATTTTTTTTTTTCACAGTTACCCAAAAACATGCAAGGTGCTTCATAGAAAATTTAATAATGAAGGGCTCAAGAAACTGGCAGTACAAAGCTCTTGGAGACAGAAGCAATCATTTACTTGTTTTTCCTCTCTCCCTGCACATTTATATCCCCATTTTTTTTACTTCGGGATGAGGAATATAGGACCCATGGAGAAGATGCATACCTATGGCCTCATTTCATATGGCTGATAGCCATGTGATTTTGTTTTGCATTTTTATTGAAGCATGCTAAGACGTGTTAATCTGTGACACGATGGACGTGTTTGAAAGGTATTTTTGGTCTTAATAAGCAAAAGGGCTTTCACCCCAGTTTTATACAGTTCTTGGAAATGTGTGGAGAGAATTTAGAGAGTTTCTCAGTAAATCTTCCTAGTGGTAGAGAAAGAAAAAAAAATCAGAAAGCTCATTACTAGAATATCGTTGGGTAATAAACTGCAGGAGTGGGATTTTAGCCTTAAGCCCTAAAACTAAATCCTTTATGATCTGCATGTAGTACATCGCCTTATAATATTATTCTGTCAGCAACTTGCTTATCATATTTATAGACTATGCAACATGCAGAACACAAATTCTGAGTGCCATCTAACTGTATTTTCAGCCTGCTTTCATACAAATTAACAAGCTAATCTTCCTGCCAGCCAGGACTAACTACATCAGGCTGGTGTTTGGACAAACAGCCCTGGCAGTACCGCAGTGCCGTGCTCTCCCAGCACCTTCTCACTGAGAAAAACAAACCTTGGGCACCCAGGGTAGACTTAGTGCTACCCTTAGTTTCTTAGGACCAAAAGTGCCTTTTTATTTTTTTCGCCATATGCAAAATGCTCTGTAAAGAGCATAAGGGGTTGTGCTTTCCAAGTGGAGGCTGACCTTAAGCACTTTGCCTCTAGCAGCATCTTGGATAGTACATTTTGGAAGGATAAGAGCATTTTCATAGAATTGGAGAGTCATTTAGGTGCCCTTACTGGCACTCTGTAAGGTCTGATGCATCTTGAAACCCCAACAGGCGTTCAGTGACAGAATCTGGTTCTTTCAGACCTTTGCTCCGCTTGCTATGTGTTGTCCTTCAAGGCTAAGAGATATATAAAGATATCACTGAAGATGAAAGTAAGGATAGATGGCTTAGTTTCAGCTTATAGGCTACCTGGAATAACAAAACTTTTTTTTTTTTTTTTTTTTTTTTTTTTCCTTACATTTTAAGAGACACTGTCCACTACTTGCAGGCCCAAGGGAAGATGGAAAACCAAAGGTTTCTGAATCAACTAAACCTCAGTCCAATGTGTTTTAAGAAAGAAGGGAGGAGCTGGAGGAGGCATAAGCATTTTTTTCCTGCAGGCTGTGTCAATAACACCGCACTGATTCAAGAGAACTTAAAAGCAAAGTTGGTTGTAACAGAAGTAGCAACCAGTCAGTTTATTTCTAAGCTGCATTAATTGGAAAACAAAAAGCACAAATGAGTATGATGAATGATGCAAAACAGATCGGAAACAAATTTCTGCGATCCATCTTATCAGTTGTAAGGAGATAGGATCTCAACATTTGTTCCGGCCTTAAAAACAAAAACATAAACAAAAATACAAAAAACATCCCCAAAAAAACACAAAAAAACCTCTCCCAGCCCCCGAGCCCCCATTCATCCCCAAATGCATTCAGTTTTAATAAGCTAAGGTGCTATCACAGAAGAAAAATCAGTCTCTAAGAATAATGAGCTGTATGTTTACAGTGTCCCTTTAACACCATAGTCTTGATATGATTTTTGTAAATAAATAACAGAATAAAAATGTATTTTTTTGTGGGGACTTTTTTGTTATCTTTCTTTTTTCTTTTTTTTTTTTTAATTTTATTTTCTTTTTTATTTATTTTTTGTCGTGCTATTTGAAGTTTCCTTGGCAATATGCCAGCTGAAAGATTTCTCAAAAAAGGGAATAACAGTTGGCTTGTGAATCATTAAATAATTCCACTCCCCACTCCCTAACTGGAATTTTCCCTCCCTCCCCTCCCATTTTTAATATCCATCTTGCCATACCAGGTGTTGAGTGTACTAAAGGACTTTAAAAAAAAATAAAATAAAGTTGAACCGATTTCAAATTTCAACAACTGACTTTTTTTTTTTTTTTAAAAAAAAGCATTTTTACTGCAATGGAACAGCTTCATGTTCAGTCTTTTTTTTTTGAGTAAAACATTTTGATTGGGCTGTGGAAATGGAGCTCAGGTGTTTTACCCAAGTTAGATCAATGGTTAACGTACAACTCGAATGAGAAATGTACAATTTGAACTGACCATTTAAAGAGACGATTTGTCACACACAGTTTGCATCCATGCAGACTGAGAGCTTTATAATTACATTATGTACAAAAAAAAAAAAAAAAAATCTTTTTAGTTTATTAAGGCAACCACAACTTGGAGAACATGTCCAAAGTGGCATTAATACAATTGCAGTGGTGATACCCTTTGAACATTTTATTTTTATTTTCAGATAAGAACACTTATTCCTTTTCTTTTTTAAGAAATAATTGCCAAGAAGAACCTATTTTCCATAGGGTTTTGTTCTCTTTTTTTTTTTCTTTTTTTTCTTTTTTTTTTTTTTTTTTAAAGAATCTACTTTATCTATTTTCTTTAAAAGAACATATCAAGGCATTGCTACCCAATGCAAATAATTCGGATTCTGGGTTTCCCATAATTTCATTGGGAATTGCAAGTGGTAAGAACTGGTAGGGTTGGGCCCTGTCTTTTTACTCTATTTTTTCTTTCCTACTTTTTTATTTTCTCTTTTCAATCCTTTTTTTTTTTTTTCTTTTCTTTTTTTTTTTTTTGGTGATTTTGTCCATGTTTACTATAACTCTATTCCCCAGAAGTGTCTTGCTTTTCTCTACTTACATGTAACGAGCATCAAAACAACTTGGTTGATGGATAACCCCCTTTTCACATGCCATTGGAAATGCCAAGTTGCTTCATAGAAACATGCTATCATAACTGAATATCCACGTACACCTTATTTGAAATGCTGTGATATTCCATCATTCGTTGGGATAGCACTCAGAATGAGAGTGTGCGCGTGTAAGGCTCTACTTTTCTATTGCCTATATTGCAGCTAGTTGTAACTAGGCAAGTAAATGACAGAGAAAAAAAAATACAGTTCTAGCAGGAGTCAGGCATTTGGGGTTATGCTGCCCCAAAACCTGATAGGTGTATAAAACTGAAAAAAAAAAGAAAAATTCAAACAGATTATAACCAAGATCACAGTTGAGAAAATTACTTTTTTTTTTGTTCTTTTCTTTCCTTTTCTTTTTTCTTTTTTTTTTCTTATTCCTTTTTTTTTTTTTTTTTTTTTTTTTTTTTTTTTACAGTGATTTCTACTATGGTATGGTTACTCTTAGTTTCACCTGGCCTACCATACAGAATTAGAGTCGAGCATGCAGCCCTAGTGACAATGTTCAGCTCTCTGCAAGGACAGCCTCCCACCTCTGGGTATGGTGTGAGCACAGCAATGCTGAGATGCTGATTAGTTTTGGAAACTCTGTAAAGTAGACAGTATCCCCAATTTTGACATCCCCCACCCCCTTCGCCCCTACCTTTCCAGCCCCTCACCCTTTCCCCCTCTTTCCTGAGGGGCTGAGGCCGAAGCGATGAAGAAGAAGATGCGAACCCCTGCTGGCACAGATCTCCATGGTGGATTTCAGCCACCTGAGGGACAAGTCCGGTGCTGCCGCAGGGGCAAAGCAGACCGTGTGCCTCTAGTTCATCAGTCCCGGCGCGCCCTGATGCCGGTACCCGCCATCCAACGGGTTGCGCTGGCCTTACGGGAGGCCTTCGCTTTCACTTCCTCTGCCTTTCCGGTGCCGCTTCACTTTCATGTCCTCCTCTTCCTCCTGCGGGGACTTGCTTTTCCTTTTCCCAACCCGGGGTGTCCGGGGTGGGGGGAGAGCGGGTGGCGGGGGGGGAGGAGGGAGAGGAGGTGGCAGCGGTGGCGTCTCTCGAGCCATGTGTATGACAGCCTCAATGGTGGCCATGATTGTGTCTTGGGTGGTTGCTTGCTCCAATATCAATGGATTCAGTGTCGGTCTCTGACCTCTTTTGCTGGGAAGGTCAATGCATTTTTCCAGAACGGGCATTTGGTCTCTGGAGTCTTCGTCAAAGGAGAGGGGTTGCTTCCGTGGACGCCCTCTCCGCTTCTTGACGAAGTTATTGCCTGTCTTTGATTGTCTCTGCAGCCGCTTGGCTTTCAGGATCTTGTTCACATGATCCAGATTCTTCTTTGTGGACAGGATCTTGGTGTAGTTGCACATCTTGCGCACCTCACACTGGATTGCTTCGATTTCACGGCGCTTGAACCTTTTTTTCAGAGGTGGGCTGGCTGTTGGGAGACAGGGAAAGAAACAGGGCAGGGTCAAACAACAGTGAATGGAAACCCTCCTTTGTCTGCTTTTAGTATCACAAAGACTAGGGGTTTTCAAGCCTAATAGGCTGAGTATGACTACTGAAGAAGCAGTGGCTGTGAGAAAGGACTTTGCATAGACAAGCAATTTAAAAAAAAATAAAAGTTAAAAAAAAAAAAAAAGTAATTTATTACAGTGCCAGAAGAATTGGTGTTACCTCCTCTTTTACTGTTCTAGATGAAAACACAATTTTGCTAAGTTGTCGTCAGTGATCTCTCTCCAGTTCTCTTCTCTTGCAAAGCAGTAAAACTTTCCTACAGCAATGTTTTACTGTGGGTTTGCTTTAGTCTCATTCCTAAGCCTCTAGTGGGAGGGAAGAAAGGGCTGCTTAGCAGAGATGTAACATTGTTCCACTGTAACTATTAAACTTTGTGTACCCCAAACATATACTCCTGATGGCTTCACCCTGGCCTTTAATGCTTGCTGTGGATGTCAGATAGTATGAAGTGTTTGCTACTGAAAATAGTGGGCACTGAAAAGTTCTGCGACACTTCACCTGTGGTAAATTCGTTAATCCCACTTGGATTTCTTTACTATCATCTCTGCAGAAACTAGCTGAAACTATCAGTTGTATAATTGACTTTAATGGCCCTCGAAATAAGCTTACTCCTGCCTGGTTCAGATCACTTACTTTAGATCTGAATGAAATCCAAAGCAGTTAAGTCTCTTGCCAAGGTCACGTGAGTCATTGTCAGAACTGGAAAGAGAACCCAGCATTTCTTGGCTCCTGGGCCTTTGCTTAGGACACGAGACCTTGATTGTTTTTCTTAAAATTGTTTCATTGTCCTTTAACAAATATGGCATTTGTTCAGAGTTCAAGATTTGCATGTGGATTATAAGTAACTACCCTTTTGTGAGTGAAACTGTATGTATTAATTCTGTTATTGTAATAACTGGTGCACTCTTTCACTCCTAACATATCCGTTCTGCGCTGCTGGAAAAGAAATGATAGAGTTCATGATTTCTTTTCAGTAAAACATCCCACTAAATTAACCTCAGCCCATATCTACTTGCAAACTTAATTTACACCTGACTGTCAAGCAGTCATTTGGGTTTGAAATCTTTGAAGTTTCCAGAGTGGCCAAGATTTTGAGAAAGGTTCATTTGGGGGTTATCACTCCGTTCATGGCTAACAGGGCAATCTTCTAGCAGTAGTTTAAAATAAAGTTGCTGTTGTAGCATTTTCTGTAGATAACCAGGAGCCATCAAGTGGCAGAGTCTTCCCTTGCTCATTATGACAGATTCAGCATACAAACATCACTTACTGTCCTCCCCTCTTGGACAACATAAATTATTGGCTCTTATACCACCATGTTGCTTGGATTCAGCAAAGGGATTGCATAAACAAATCCAAGTTACAATGCAAGAAGTAGGAGTGAGTCATAAACAAAACAGAGACATATGCTGTCTTATAAATAAAGACCTAGATGGCCAACTTCCCAAAGTCTGGTTTTCATTAATTACAAAACAAAATACATTTTCCATATGTAACCCACTCCCCACACCAAAAAGAAAAATAAAACCCACTTACAGTTTGTGATTCACAGAGGACAAAAGAAAAGAGAAATGCACTCATTTTGGTAGCAAAGAAAAAGAGAAAGGAAAGGAAATGTCCAAACTACTAGGGAAAAATCTAATTAGTTGCACAAAATTCCTCTCAAGTAGGTCACCCCTAAAAAGGGTGGATATAATAGTTCTAATTGCAAGTGGCCATGAGAGCCTTCTCTGTCATATGATCAAACAAATTAGATCCCTGGTGCAAAAAGCCATTACTCTGTGGCTTCACTGATGACTGACATATAAAGTCCCAATATTTCCAGTCCTAACCATTCAACTCTTCTGGGTTCCTCCCAGATCCTGATAGTGGCTTCAGGTAAGAGGATTTAAGAAATCACACATTTTGCATAGCCTTTATATTTGCTGTCCACATTTTGTTTTTTATCACTACTGCCAGGGCCCATGTTCAAGACTTTTTGAAAACTATCATGTTCAAGATGTGTTTTTTTTTGTTTGTTTGTTTGTTTTTCTCCCAGAAAATAAAGTTGAATTTTTTTCAATTGGTGATGAAAATCTTGCAGATGGGAGTTTTAGTGAAAATATAGGAAAAATTTCAGGGTCCATGGTGAAATCTGGAGATTTGGCATTACTCTCATCTTTAATTGGAAAGACAGCAAGCCAAAGGGCAGAAAAATGATTTGAAAAGAAGAATCTGCAAAATTTTATGTTTCTACTGAGATCTATTAGTATCTGTTATTTTAGCATCTAGTATTAACACCCCGTTGCAGTCAATGGAGATCTGCTTCATACAGTCAGTAGAGAATTCTACTGACTAATTTAGAATCTTCTATTTCTAAAATGGGAGTTTAATGCCATTTGAGATGACCATGGGCATCCTTCTGATCCCCAGATACTGAATAAGTAGGGTGCAGATATTCTGTTGGTTGTGCCAGCCCTGATGGGTGTTGCAGTCACCTGAGACATCCAGGATACCCAGGCTCAATGGTATGTAGACATGGACTGAGTGGAACAAATGCAGGTATCTGCTTTCTGCCAAACTGCTGAGTTCTCTGAAATCAACTAACACACGCTTAGTGGTAGATAGCTACTCTTATGTGTAAATCTGTGAGCTGAACACCCAATGACTTCCTTCATGTTGTTGAGATAACTTTCTTGCTATCCTAAAACTTTGCAAGCTGACAGACGCTTTCCTTTTGGACTGAAATTCATTTTCTCAATTAAAAAAATATATAAAAAAAAAAGTTGGTCTGTGCTGGCTTACTGTAGTAATTTTTCTTTCATAAATGCTTTGGGGTGTTTATGACTTTCCCAGGAAGCTTGTTAGAAGCTACTAATAATGCTTTTGCTTCTCTTCCTAGCAAGCCACGGAACTCGCACGCTTTAGAAAATATTTGAATTGTGTTATATAGTCTGCCGATAGTCAGAATACACGTCTTGAATAAGTAATATCCTTTCAAGTCAGACTTTTTATAGATTATATTAGGAAACACAATATTATTTTGACTGTTGAGAGTCAGGGACATCTGATTCTACATTTGGAGAAGGGAGGCTATGTGGAAAGGAGTCTGATGAGTCTGCAGGGGGAAGATTTGATGAGGTGTGCATATGACAAAATATCAGGGAGATCTGCCAAAATAAACCACTATTGAAGTGAGAGCCATTAGGTGTTATCAACTCATCTGGAAGCTCTTGGTGAGCAATCTTTGTTATAAAATATTTTGCTATATTGCCATGTGATATACTGCTCTGCTGAGAACCAAAGCTAAGTACTAATCTTTTCAATTTTATCCAGACAGACCTCTGCCCAACCCTGGACCTAAGTTGGTCTGCATTGTTTTTAGGCTTTGTTGTTCTCCTGCACATAATTTACTGTTTGCACATGGAAGTTTTGCTCTGGGAGAAAGACTTTCCCCTATCTCTGTCTGGTGAAATTCATCTTAAATGGGATGAAGACGAGGTTGGGAGTAGTAACTGTCCGTAGTGTCTCTACATGACATAGGAAGATGGGAATATGCCTCTGAAGAGATGATACAACATGATGGCAACCTTCAGGTGATGGAGTACAAGGAAGAGAACTTTGCTGTCTGGGCATACTTATCTCCCTTCACCTCCCCAGGCTGCAGGGCCATGTGCTGCATCTGTGAAGCCCTGAAGCTATTTGGCACAGTCTAGCCCAAAGTGATCAGAAGCTAGAAATACTAGATACAAAAAGCTGACAGAAGAAGAACCCCCCCCCCCCCCCCCCTGAATTTTCTCTTACTCCATGGGGAGGACCCATTACAGAGGAAATCCTTCTTTCAGAGAGATTGATAGAGTGCGATAGGAGATAGAAGCAGTTTGGTCTCCCAAGACACAGAAAATTCAGATAAGCACCAGCATTTCTGGACTCCTGTCTGAAAATGGATGTCTGAGGCTTTCCATGTGCTACCAGAGACAGGCACACTGCAGTATCCGCTGCAAACACAGTGTCTCAAATGCAGGCTATGAAAACAAAGTGCAATGTTACACGCTGCTGCTGCACATTGCTGCTGCTTTCTGTCCAATCAAACTTTTGTACTTTTCCCCCATCTCTTCCCTACTCTCCAGAAACAACCTACCTACCTAGCTGCACCAAAAAAGCAAGCAGCAATGTTGGTATTAAAAACAAAACAACAACAAAAAACTTTGCACATTTTAAATAAGGCACACAGGTGCCCTGTATTTCTCCCCTCCCCACGGTAAGCAGATGCAGTGAGGCTGCATCTCATAGGCAGAGACAAATCAAAATGAGTGCTGGCCAAGCTGGGATGTCACAGAGGATTGATATAGCTGGGAATAACTTCTGAGGTAATAAGAGAAATCTCTACCAAAAATATATGTTTCCAAAGGTAGCTTAAAGGAAGCTGAACAACCCACCTCACCACAGTGGTGTTGAACAAGAATATAGCAGATGTCTTGGAAGTTCTCCATTGCTCCTCTGACTTTATTCTGCATGGCTTTGGTATGTCTGCAGCACTAAAGATCAATCTTACTGCCTGTCATTCTCCATCCCTTCAGAGTTGCCCGAGGCCACTTGCAAGAACATGGCACAGAGAAGACTGCTTGCTCAACAGCTGGGCTCAGTTTATTGACTTCATTCGAATGGAGGAATTTTCAAAGAGCTCTCCATTAATTACAGGAAACCCATAGCACTGTCCTGTTTTCCCATTAACACAGTTTCTTTCAGTTTTCACTAAATTATTTCAACATCTGGGCTACAGATAAACCAACAATTTAATTAGACTTCTGAAAATGGAAAGAATGAACTATGTAGTCAAACATACACTTTCATCTTGAAACTGATCATAAAATATTTGTGTGCTTTCATTCTCTATTGCATTAAAAATCTATCCTTAGTTTATATATAGGAAAGTATTAAAGGCTAAACAGAGACTCTTGATTTTTTTTTTTTAAATAAAAATTTATCTTTATAGAAGCCACTTTACAGCATGGTTCCCTGGTTTTCACTATTTATTGAGGAAACTAGAGGAAAATCAAAAAGAGCACGCTGAAACAGCACCTTCAATTGCATAATTAGATATGCTATCATTCCATAACTCAATGATACAAATACCTTTTTGTGAATGTGGAATCAGAGATTTGACAAGACTAAGAAACTCCTAATGCCTGCATGTAGGGTAACGTACCGTGGGCTTCCCATTTACTGGAAATTAAGACATAATGCAAGATTAACTTCTCTATCCATGCCCCCCAAAAGGCATGGTGATGACTGAATGAATTGGCACACTTTTTGACTGTATAAAGCTATCACCTTCCAATCTGATTCCAATTAGAAGCACCAAATATAAGTTGATTGAAAAACATGCTACTATTGCTTATTTATTCCCATATATTTTAAATCACTGTTCATTGCCCCAGACAATTTCACATTTGCAAGACAGACTATTATGCTAAAATCACTGAAGTATGCAGAAAGAAATCTCAGCTGCTCCTTAGCTATTCACTATGTATTCAGCATGTTTGTACTACAGGGATGGAACATTCAAATAAATGAACAACAGGGCTGAGAAAGCAACCCAAGAGCCTTGCTTCAGAGTTCCCTGCTAGACCATACGGACTGGTGCTACTTCTATCCTCTTTATTGCACAAGTGGCGGTATGTGAATAAAAGATTTGATATGCCAAGATATGATCATGATAAGAAAGTGTTAGAAAAAAATTACAGCCTGATTATCACATCAGATATGCATATTTACAACTACTACTCAAATCAAGAAGAACGGTACGAGCACATAGTGTTCAGTGCAGGAAGGAAGAAGGTGGAGAAGAAATTGAGGGGATGGAGAGAAACAACTTTACCTGCTTCAGATGTTGCTGATGATGAAGGTAGGAGAGATAATACTGGAGTCGGCATTGCAACACTGTCAACAGCTGCTGGTTTCCTTCTGGTCATCATGTTACAGGTAGAACTTTCCATTTTACTGTGAAGTGAAGTCTGGTCTGCTTTTAAGTGGGGTCCTACAATTCCTGGGGAAGGAAACAAAATTTGGATGAAATAATTAGACTGGGAAATATCTGGAGATGAACACTCTGTTGTCTTTGTAACCCCAATGTATTTTCATATTTCCCTGTATGTGCCTGGTTTCAAGACCTAATATGGTCTCAATACTAGCAAGGATCAAGATTTTTATTATTTTCTAATACCTCTGCTTCAGGAGGAGCTATCAGTGATCTCTATAAACACCAGGAAACCGGAATAATAATTCCACATTGTTACTCTTTCTTCTGTGAGAAAATACACACACTTATACATGTTTAAAGACAGACACACCTCATATCTCTGTTCAGTGAGATTGTCTATTTGTCATCCTCTGTGTAGTATATTTTCCACATAAACATATGTACTTCTCTTTTGCAATGACTTGACTCAATGTGTGTTTCATCTGAGTAAGAAGCGGGCATCAGTAACAGCTTCAGCATACATTCCCCGTCTAAAGAACATTACACTTTTACATAGTTTTGGGAAAGTCCTTACTAATAAAAATCTACCTTACAACTCATCAAAGAGGTGGGAGTTTTGTTTTTTTTTTTAAAAAAGAGCACTTTGTCATACGTTTTTCTACCAACAGATTCTGTGATGGCATCAGAGTTATCCACACAGGGATTACAAAATGGGATAAATGAATGGTACAAACGTACTAAAGAGGTTAGATGTTCCAAGAAATAAAAGCTATGCAAGAAAGGCTGGTAGATTCCTCCCTTCTCCCTTTGCAATGCTTCTCAAGCTCTCTTACAATCTTGAACCTTTTTTTTTTTTTTTTTTTTTTCTCTTTCTTTCAAATGTCTTTCTTTCAAATTTATACAGCTGGTTTTGTAATATTATATATATTGCATATTAGATATGCTCCTGACTAATACATGTACATCTGAATGTATATCCACCCATTTACATATAATATTTGTGTGAGTTTGTGTGTGTTTATACATACTGTATTTACATCTGTAAGTATATAAAAAAAAAAAAAGAAAAAGAAAAAAGTATAAATATATCAAGTGGGAAGTCAGCTAAAATGTCTTAGTCAGTTTTTTACAGTAGAAGTGAGAGGTTTTGCTGATTTTAGAAAATTCCTAGCAGTTGCTGTTTTATAAAAATGCAGTAATTCTGCTCTCATGAGACTAGAGCAAAAGTCTGGTAGGATGAAGAGCTGGTGTTGTGCCTCTGCTAACTTATGAAAACCTTTCCCAATCTATGCAATGCTGGACTTCAACACATTCATGACGGACACTCATTTTTCAAAGGGGGTCAGATTTTTAATATCTCCAAGAATAGACTCCACAACCTCTCTGGGCAAAGATATAAGCAACACCAAGTTGGTCAGGCATGAGTTTTGCTCCATAAATCTCAACTGACTATTTCTGGTCACCTCTTTGTATCCTTCATATGGTTGGAAATGGTTTCCAGGGTTATTTGTTGCATCTGCTTCCCAGGGATCAATATGAGGCCAACCAGCCTGTAGCTCACTGGATCTTTTTTCTTGTACTTATTGGAGTGACACTTGATTTCTTCCAGTCCTCAGGATCCTCTCCTGATTACCACCATGTTTCAAAAACAATCGAGAGTACTCTCAGAATAACACTGACCAGATTCCTGAGCACCTTTGGGTATATCCTGTCAGGTCCCATGGACTTATGTATGTTCAGTTTTTTTAACTGTTCCCTAACCTGATCCTCCTCCACCAGAAGTAGGATTTCTTTCCTCACAAGTCTCAGGGGCCTGAGATTCCTTAAGTCTGCTCTTACCAAGGTGACCAAGAAGACCAAGGCGAAGAACACATTGAGTACCTTGGTCTTTTTCATGTCCTTTGCCACCAGTGTTCCCATTTCATTCAGCTCTGTTCCCATATTTTCCCTAGTCTTCCCTAGTCTTTTTATTTTTTTTTCTCCTTTCTGTTGATGTACCTGCAGAAACATTTTGTGTTGTCCTTCTGCACTCACTAGATTAAACTCCACACAGGTTTTGGCTTTCATGAGCCCATCCCTGCATGCTCAGACATTTTCTCTATATTCCTCCAGATCACCTGTTCTTGTTTTATCTTTTCATTTTGCATCCTTTTCAATTCTGACATTAGTCAGTAGCTCCTTGCTCATTTGTGCAAGTCTCCTGACACCTTTGCTTGATTTGATGCTCATTGTTGTGGATAATTCTTGAGTTTGGAGGAGGTGATTCTTGAAAATCAACCAGCTCTCCTGGATCTCAAGGTTCTCCATGGCCATATTCCATGATATCATAAGATTTCTTCAAGTAGATTGTGGTCTTCCCTTTTGCCTTATTCCTCCTATCACACTGAGGTGAACATAAGATTTCTCTCTATCTAAGGAAAGCCTCATCTCCTTTCTGATCAGGTGGTCTATAGCAAGCACCCACTGCAACCTTGCCCACATTTGTCTGGTCATGAATCCTGACCCTTAAGTGCTCAGTTGGTTCATCACACGTCCTTAGGCATTGCTCCATGCCTTGCTGCTGATTTCTTATATCACCCTGCAACCTTTCCTTGACAGCTTGGTCTACCACTTCCTTACCTGATTGTCGGTCACCATGTCTTTTCCTCATCATTACTAGTTTAAAGCACTCCTCACCAGCTTGGCCAGGCTGTTGGAAAATATCTTTTTAATCCATTTACTCAGGTGGACCTCTTGTCTCCCTAGTGGTTTTCTAACCTTGAAGAGGGGAACCTTGTTTCCGACACAAGCTACACAACGAGTTTCTGACATGAAGGATTTGTCAGGTCTTCTTCAAGCACTTCCATTTCACTTGTAGGATAGAGGAGAAAGCAGTCTGTACCCCCATGGCCTTGATCACAGCCCCCAAAGACACTTAGTGATGCCTGACATGCTCCTGTACTCTACAGCTCTACTGCTGGTGCCCTGTGGAAGAGCAGCAGTATTATCAGTCCAAAGGCTGGACAAGCCTTGGATATCTCTCCACAGTGTCCCTGATCCAAGTTCCAGGCAAAGAGAAAACCTCTCTGGACAGCAGAACAGGTCAGAAGACTGGTGCCTTCATCCTCTGCAGCAGGTGACAACTGCTGCTCTCCTGAGTTGCACCTGGGTAGCATCTGGTAGAGCTCCTCACAGAGATCCAAGAAGTCACCTAATGGCCTTGGAAGAAGGTCTCAGAAGATCAAGAAGATATCAAAGCAGAGCCCAGAAACCTGCCCATCCAATGGGCTGTGTCTGTTGGCTGCCTCTGCTGGCTGCACCCAGCTTTGCCGGGCACCAGCTAACATTTCCCTCCGTTTGCATTTGGAGCTGCTATGAGTGTCCCTACCTTTGCCTTTACATGTGAAATGATAAATATCAGGAAACCTACAGATGGTCCCAGAAACTGGAAAAGATTTCCATCAGACTCGGACAGAGAAGCAGTGCACTGGTCAGGGGAGGCTGAAAGATCTTGAAAGAGATGAGGGGCTACAGAGTGGGCAAGTCTGGGAGAGGTGTCCAGATGAAAAAACTGTGGTCTTAATGCAGCAGAATGGGTCCAACAGCAGAAATAGTCAGGACAGAGAGAGAATCACAGTCAGAGGCCATGGCTTGTTAGAGATATACTGAGGAGTTTTTGTGTATTAAGCCACACATTCTTCCAGAGCCCCAAATCGAGTATTAAGCATCTAAAATTGTATTGATTCAACTTCAATCTCTCTATGCTCAGCTTCTCTATTGCAAATGAGAACAATAATATACCCCTCATCTCAAGAGCAGTGCTGCGAAAATAAAATTATCAACATTCATGAAACATTCATCTATTCATAGTAAGGCTTAGAAATGTGGAATAAATGAGACATGAGGTCACACACTGAATAACGAGAGGAAAATCAAACTACCAAATAGCTGTTCATTAGGTGAGTGCCATACACTGAATAAAGTAATGTCCCATAGAAAAACCAAGGTATTAGACCAGGTAATTATGCCTGTAGGATCCCAGGACTATGGAACTGTGCATATGCAAAACTAAAGTTTCGCCACTCCATAGTGCTTTAGTTTGAGGCTTAACATTATTTTTTCATGAATGTAGTCTGTGGGCAAGAAACGTGTATATGTGGATGTATGCATCAATACACGTACACATATATGCATGTGCATATGGTACATAATAATGCTAACAACCTCATAAATTCAACATCTGGTTCTAATTAAACTGAAGGACCTATATAAAGAGCCGTATGAAAACATGCAGCTGTAACCTGTTGACCTCTATTGATAAAAAAAAAGTCTCTGTGAAGCAGTGCTTCAACATATCAAGGGACAGTCATTCATTTTTCAAAGGTAATCCCTCACAAACCACTTATCCTCTCAAATCTCTACCTGCACACAGTGTTTGCATTAGGGACCTTGATTTATGGATTCCCACTCCTTGGATGGAGAGGCCGACTTCCTGTTGCCGTGGTTACTTGGATCTTGGTTCAAGGTTAAACTACTCCCAAATCAAAATCAGTGGCAGGCACAGCATCTAACAGCCAGGTTATTGACTACCCTAGGATGCTTAAAGGTCAAAGACCAAAGTGCTGCTTACTGCCTTTGGGGTGAGTCAATATTTTCAATATTTTTATTCTGTTTCTTCTGAAGAAGAAGTTGCTGCTCAATTACCACCTATCTGGGTTTAGCAAGGTCATACAAATCATCGAGGAAAATCCCCCCTCTACAGAAGAGATACAAATGTAATGAATTACTTCAAAGTCTACGTGGCCCAATTGCAGCTCATCACTGGTGAATCATGGTTTCAGCCATCTGTCTTTTGTTTTACGCACTTGGTTTCTTCAGCCTGTAGCACTCACATAACCAAAATTCACCTCTGAATTCAGGGATGGGAATAATTTATGGATTTGGAACAGCAAATAAGGAAGAATCATAGGGTTTCTTTCCCAGATACCAAAATGCAGAATCGGAGGTACCGTTAGAAAGCCATGGAGTTTCACAGAAGGCCATGATTCATTCTGCAGCATGAGAGGTCTTTCATGCTGCAACCCACT